CATTGGGGTTGAGTCTAATAACGCTGCACCTAGCCACAGGTCCACAAGATTTTCCTTTTGTCTTGTAACTTCATTGTATAGTTTTTATATCTGAGTCAATTATCTCATTTGAGTTAATATTGTGTAAAGCATAAGGTATAGTGTGTGAATTTTGTTTTGTGTTGCCTATGGATGACCAATATATCCATTCACCATTTGTTGAAAAGTCTACCATTGTTTATGATTGTATCCCAGCCACTTGGGAGGCAGTGATAAAAGATGGGGATTCAAGTCCAGGTAGGCAAGAAAGTTATTAAGACCATATTCTAAAGAACAAGCTGGGTGGGGTGGTACATACCTGTAATCTCAGCTACAAGGGAAGTGAACTAGAAGGATCTCAGTTTGAGGTGGCCTGGTAAAAAGTGGAAGATGCTATCTGAAATATAATTCAAAGCAAAAAGGGCTGGAGGTGTGGCTCAAGTGGTAGAATACTTGCCTTACAAATACAAGGCTCGAAGTTCAAGCCCTACCACTCTCACAAAAGAAAAGACCACCAGCAATTGAAAGCTTTTGCAGCTTTATTAAAACTCAACTGAACATACTTGTGTCTATTTAATAGATTCCTCCATTCTGCCCATTGGTATATCTATCTCTCTGTCAAATATAAGCTGTGAAGTACTACAGCTATGTAGTAAACATTAGAATTGAGTACAGCTAGTCTTTCCACTTTATTTTTTTTCCCAAACCTCTTTTAGGTGTTCTAGATTCTTTGCGTTTACATATAATTTTAGAATAAATTTATACAATTATATTTACATTTTAAAAACCTTGATGGGACTAATAGGAATTGTATTAATCTCATAGGCCAATTAAGGAAAGTTGATATCACTACTCAGTCAGATCTTTCAATCTCCTGACATGGTATGTCTCTCCATCTTTTTAGGTATCATTTTCAGCATACATAGGATATCTCTGGAGCAATTATAAGTTACATTATTTTAAATATCAATTTTCAAATGTATGCTAGTAGTACATAAACACTCAGGTTTGTTTTTTTATTTATCTTATATTCCACAAAGTAGCTGAACAGACTTATTAGCACTTTTTTCCCCCTCTACATATACAAATGAGTAATGTGCAAGCAGGGACAATTTTACTTAGTTTCCAAACTATATGCTTTTAATTCTTTTTCCTTGCCTTAATATGCTCAATAACATTTCTAGTATTAAGCTGAATAAAGGCAGTGAGAGTAGGAATTCTGTTTTTATTCTCGACTTTGGAGTGTAGAGGATTGTTTTGTTTTGTTTTTCAACAGCTTTCAATACACATCCTTATATCCTCTACCTTCATGTCTTATGCTATACAATATTACTAACGCTCATCATTTTCTTTTCCTCTCCTTCTTTCCTTGAGTTCCAACAGTAGTTCCACTGCTACAAACATGTTCTGCATCTGAATTTGTATATGCTCCTGCTTGTTTTTTATATAAGTTTATCTTTGGGTCTATTTTCCACATATGAGAGAAAACATGCGGCTCTTCTGTTTCTGATCCTGGCTTACTTCACTTAATATGATGTCTTCCAACTGCATCCATTTACCTTCATGCCACATGTCTTTATTCCTTATGGCTGAGTAATACTCAGTCGTGTATGTATATCACAATTTCTTGATCCATTCATCAGTTGTAGGGTGCCTGGGTTGTTTCCAAAGCTTGGCTATTGGAATAGTGCTGTGATGAACATCATTGTAGAGGTGTCTCTACTGTATCCTGTGTTATGTTCATTTGGGAGTGGTGTCACTGGCTCATATGGCAGTTCTATCTCTAGTTTTTTGAGGAATCTCCACACTGCTTTCCATAGTGGTTGTACTAATTTGCATTCCCAACATTAGTGTATGAGGGTTCCTAATTCACCACATCCTTGCCATCATTTGGTATTATTACCATTGATTAGGGCCATTCTTATTGGGGTGAGATGAAATCTAAGTGTTGTTTTGGTTTGAATCTCTTTTATAACCAGGGAAGCTGAACATTTCTTCGTGTATTTACCGGCCATTTGATTCTTTGGGGGCTGTTTTTTGGAGTTCCCTGTAGATTGTGGATATTGGTTCCTTATTGAATGATGACTAGCTGGCAAAGATTTTCTCCCATTCTGTGGGCTGTCTCTTGAGGCTGGTAACTGTTTCCTTTGCTGTGCAGCAGCTCTTTAGTTTGATACCGTCCCAGCCCATAAATTTTTAGGTTACTGGTTGAGAAAGTATTTGGAAGAATGAGGCTACTCCATCTTGGATGGAACTACAAGCTTCTCAGTAGGAATACTTTTGAAATGAGACAAATTGGTTCTAATATTATCTGGAGTAATTCATACATAAGTCACGTAAGAACTAAATAATAATTTCTGGTGTTAGAAGAATTTTGAGTAATTATCACATTTGACAAAAACTGAGTTATGTTTTAACAGTCAATCATATCATTTTAATTGTTAAAATTCAAATATTTATTTATACATGTTCTAGTATAGAGAGTATATCAAACTCAATTGTGTAGCCTTTAGATAACTGAAGACAGCTCATATACTACTCAACTAGAATAAACAATATTATATCCATGTTTTATATCTTTGAGAGATTTATTTCACTTGACCAAATAAATCAGTATTTCTTCTAACACTTTTGAAATTCAGATTGATTCCACATTTTTATGTAGCTATATTTTAGATATCATACCAGTAACTGATAGAAAAACCATGTTAGACATTGTGTGTTTTAGTAGAATCTCCTGATATAAAACTCTTACACTTATAGAATTTTTTAAAAAAGTAATAAAAATTTGTCCTTTAGGGAAAAGTTATTATTGAAACATAGGTGGCGTGTAAGCTAATTACTTAAATAACACATAAATCCTTTGATTTCAGGGTGGGCCCTCTCAGAGTTACAACTTCAGTCTACTGTTATCAACTCTTACTGCTTTTCCATGTGATTCTGTTAGTATGATCTCAACTAATAGGTGTATGACTGTAAGTCCCAATATCAATCACTGGATTCGTCTAATTTCCATACTGAAGGACCTCAAATTCAATAGATCTAAAACTTACTCTCTTTGCTCTGAGAAGTATTCCTTCTCAAATGTATACTCTTCAAGTTAACAACAACACATCTATTTAATCTCACAATCCACAAAAAAAATCACCAAGTATTATTGATTCTACTTGCTTAAATAATATTTTTTAATTCATTTTTTTCTTCATCTTCTCTGCCACTATTTTAGCTCAGGCAACAATCATTTTGTGTCTACCCTCCTATAATCTGGTCTTCTTTCTTTCTTCTTTTTTTTTTTTTATTGTGTGGGGCTTGAACTCAGGGCTTCACACTTGCTAGGCTTGCTAAGGCACTCTACCACTTGAATCACTCCACCAGCCCAGGTCTTCTTCTTCTTTCTAGCTAGAATCTTTTTTTCTTCACTAAAAACATGTTTCTCACTCATCAAAGAAGAGCTTCAAAAAATAACCAAACTGGTGTTACCCACTTTTCTAAACTCATTTAAAGGCAAACTATACTTTCAGGATGAAACCTAAACTTAACATAGGATGAAGACTCACCTCGAGCCCTGTATCTCTCCAGGCTTTATTTTATGATCTAGTGCTATACAGTCTTATACTTATGCACTCCCAAGTGCTTCTGACTCAGCACACACTCCCATTTGCAGAGTTTACTTCTTGGAAAGCTTTCCTGATTAACCTTTTCAAATGACTCAATTCCCTTCCTATGTATTTTCACAGAAGTCTTTATTTGCTCTTATCAATTACATATTTTAATTGTCATAAGACAGTATTTTATTTAATATAGATGGATTTCAAGTTTATAAGCACTATGTAAATGTCTGATTTTATTTATATAGGGAGAGATATTTACTGATTATTTAACGTTTTCAAATTTGCTGAATCACTATAAAATGTATTTCAAGAAGCAAAATATTCATTTTTCTAAACTTTTAAGAGCATGTAATTATAATTTTGAAGGTATTTACATAAATTTAAACAAAAAGTTAATTACAAGTTCATATTTATATACATTTCTAAATCTAAAAAAAGTGAGGAATAAGGTTTCTATCAGTTGATTCCTCAAACTTTATGAATTCACATTACGTTATCAGGTTGGAATGAAATTCCTGAAACTTTTGTTATGATGCTAAAATAAAATTAATTTCTGATGCTGGCCACACAATAGAATAGCTGACAATTGAAACTAATAACTTATCACCTAGTAATTATCAAAGAGCTAAAGAGACTTAAAAATAATGCAAAAATATTAGGGGATTATTTACTAAAATTTGAACTAATTGAAGTTGATATTAAGAAGTTTAATCAAATCAAATCAAACATAATGACTTGCTAAGATTTTTTACATATAATTATTAACAACCACAATCGTTGATGTTTGATACTGCTACTACTTTTAAAATTTCATTTATGAAATACATAGTCAAGTTCACCTCTCAATATATGGCAAACTGCTTTTTGACAAGGGCAATCTGTTCTTCAAAACAATTAACATTCAAGGGACTTAGTAAAAAGGCAGACAGAAAAATGTAGTATTGCTATAATTTTTGAAGAATAAGGTCAATTCTTGATTTATTGCAATATAAATTTTAGATTGAAATTGGCATTTTTGTTTCAAAAGGAGCCATGAAACATTTAATAGAAGACTGATATATTTATAGTTGGTGAAGGGAATACAGGGAGAAGAAATTATAAGAGAAAGATAATCCATTCTGCATGTTAATGCTTATACACAAGTGCTATATTAGAGTTGCAATGAATTACATATGAAAGATTCCTTTTTATTTCAAATATTTTTCTCAGAAATGCACTGCAATAGCAAATGAGATTTGATGATGACTCTCCATTAGGGTATGTCCTAACATACCCAAATTCCCAATAATATTTATAAAGAAAAAGCAATTCTTTATCTACCTCCCACCAAGATGGTAAGCCTTTGTAGAGGTGAAAGGTGCCATACCATACCTTGATTTCTTCTATTTCGTCTGGTACTATCTTGTAGGCTGATATAGTCCCACCCAACCTGAAATTAGGAGAAGAAAATACTCTCAAAACCAGGAACAGTGTATAAAAATATGGAAGATTTATGCCATTAGTGTTAGAAGACCACCAATAATTTCCCAAAGACCACCCTAACACCAGGGTAGATGAATTTTGTGATTAAGTTTCTATTTATTAGTTTTAAAGAGATAGGTAATGCATGATTACTCAAAGAAACATTAAGCTGAACTTTCATCCATAACTAAACTCTTAAGGATTTTTTTTGTGTCTTTGTTTAATTAATAAACTTGAGTTCTAAAAGTAGGTTTACGTTCACAAAAATTGAGCAAAAATTAGAGAGTTCACTTATCTTGCTTTGTGTCTCAATGCCCAATTTCCCATTATTATAATCTTGCACTAGTGTGGTACATTGTTATGAATGATGAACCAATATTGATTTTATTCCTTTTAAAAAATTAATTTAGGGCTGGCAGAGTAGCTCAAGTGGTAGACTGCCTGCCTGCCTACCAAGCATAGGCCCAGCGTTCAAATAAACAGGGAGTCAAAGAGACGTGTGTGCCTATGCACTGTAAATGGAAAAGAGAAAAGAATTTGGAGATTATAAATAGTTTAATCCCTAGGACATGTTTTTTGCCTTCAAACAGTGATGTCATTACATGTCATGTTTTTATATTTGAAAATTTATGTTAGAAAATGACTACGATTTATAGAACACCCATTGAAAGAAATGTCATGTTATTTAATTCTTGCAACTCTCTATGTAAAAATGTGGATATTGACACAGATATTCAGTAATTTTTAAGTAATCAAAGTAGTTAATAGAGATATACATAAATTTACAATATATGTCAGAATTTCAATGTTTAGTTAGTATTAAGAAGAAATAATTTGAAAATAACATTCTGGACATATTAAATATTAAAGTTAATAATTACCTCTGTTTGTTTTTACTTTTTTAAATGTCTACTAGAAAATTTTTGACATACAGGGAATTGATAGTTCCCATTATATCTCTCTATCAGGTGCTCTCAGCATATCAACTCTACTTCAATGCTTACAAAGGAACCTTGAGGTTTCTTATTTGAATTTATAATTCCTCCTTATAAAAGGAAGCATATCACACATAAGCTACTCACTTATTCTGGATACTACTCACTTATTCTAGATACTTTAGTATCTCTTCTCTCACTAATAAAAATGTACAAACAACATTTTGATTTCTATTAGAAAAAAACAGCTAAATCCCACCAAATGATTTTCATTGAAAATTAATAATTTATAATCATTTATTCTTTTTATTATTCTGATCTTTTTATAATTTAGATCTTATTCAGATTTTATTTTAGATTTATTCTTGAAACTATTATTCAGATCTTGACTTGTTATTTTCTAGACGAAAAGCGACATAATTGAACAGTGAAAACACTAATGAATTTTAACTTAATTCGCCTCATGTAAGGCACCAGAGTGTAGTAAACAAGACCACAGTAAGGTAACTACTACAACAGCAGTACAAGTTACTACAATGAAAAAAAAAATCTAACTTTTTATAACAGGCTTAAAACAGGCATGAAAAAGCTTTCAATGTCAATTAGTAAAGTTACTCGATAGAAATTGATACTGTCATATCAACAGACATTATGACAAATGCTGTTAAAACTCTAGAACTATAATTCATAAAGTTTGAAATTACTTCCAAATAAAAAGTTTTTAAAAATACCTATCATTATAAAATAGATTGGTTGTAATTAAAGCAGTCTACAATAACTGTTACATAAATGTAACAGTAAACTATAGACACAGTTTCAATTTGTTGGTAAAATGAATCAAAGATGCCACAGTGAAAATGTTAACAGCTGGAAGAACAATAAAAACAATGTTGCTAACACAATTTCAAAAAAAATTCATTTTTCTCTTGATTAATGTTAACAGTACCTCAAATATTGCATTTCTTGGAATCTAATCCTAGGAAGATGGGTGAAGGTAACTTTCCAGATTAGAATTCCTATATCAACTGCAAACTATTGACAATAGTACCACTTGCACTAAAAGGAGCAAATGATGTATACACACATGCATTAGGATGCTAATCAAGTAATATATAACTATATGATCAAGTGGCTAAACATGGAAGAAACCTGGAGAACTTCCACATTATACTAAACATAGAAAGAACAGAAATGAAAATTATAAAACTATGTAATATTATATGTAATATATATTATGTAATATAATAATTATGTAATATTGGGGGAAATCCAATCTAGAAAAAACCAAGGAAATGAAGGAATAAAGCAATTTATTTAACCCCCCCTACTTCTCAAGAATAAGTTTATTTCAGCAAATCCTTTTATTTATTCCCTGAGTATGACCCAATCATATCTTTAACAATTCTTACTTTTGTACTTTGAACTGATTTCTGAAAATGACACTGTTTTCATGCATCACTAAACACAGATTTCAAATACCTGTAAATTTAACATGTTATCAATAGTCCACAGTTACTGGACCCAGGCCTAGATCACACAATGATGAACTTCGAACTATCATACACCAAACTGTTCTTTCCACTGTACTACACTGACCATCTGATTGTTGAAGGAAGATGCCCTCTTGAGGTGCAGTTCTTGTATACTGTACTCAGTAAGTAAAAAGTATTGCAAACTGGCAGTGAGAGTGCTAGCAATATTACCAAAATTACTATCAGTAATATAGAAGATGAGTATTCTTTATCTGAGGTTCTTGGAACCAGAAGTGTCTTAGATTTCATGCTCTTTTGAATACTGCACATACAACTGGAGGTATGTTGGGGATGGGACCCCCTTTTTTTTTTGACAGTACTGGGGTTTTCAACTCAGGACCTCAAGCACTCTACCACTTGAGCAACACCTATAGTCCTTTCTGGTTTTAGTTACATCTTTAGGCAGGAGTCATGTTTTGTGCCCTGGGAAGTCTCAGACTGCAATCCACCTATCTATACTTTCCACGTGGCTAGGATGACAGGCATGCACCAGCATGACTAGCTTGTTCTCTGACATATGGTCTCATGGCAGGCTGGCCTCAAACCACAATCTTCCTATCTCTACCTCCCAAGCAGCTGAGATTAGACTTTAGCCACTGCATCTGGTTATGATAAACACAAAATTCATTTATGCTTTACATGTACCTTATATATACAGCCAGAAGTTAATTTTATAACATACTTTTAGTGTGCCTGCATTTTGACTCTGATTGTCATATGAAGTTGTGTGATATTTTACACTTAGTGTCACATTGATTCTCTAACATTTTCATGTTTGGGAGCATTTTAAGTTTTGGATTTTCAGAGGCTCAACCTGAATTAGATATTTACTATGTGTCAAACTTTATGTCAGGATTTCCATGTATTTTCTCAATAGACTCTTAAAACCTGCAAAGACAATTACAAAAACTGAGCTAAGTAATTTTTTTGGCATTTTTATTAGCATATATTAATTATTAAAAGATACATTTCATTATGATGTTTTCATACATATATATGAGGTACTTTGATCATATTCACCTCCTTCCCCATTTTCCTCTGTTTCCTCGACTCTCTTCTGTTGGTCCCTATCTCTTTCCAAATAGTCTCCCTCCCACATTCAAGTCTTTTTATCTAGATTCCACATATGAGAGAGAACATGCAATATTTGTCTTTCTGAATCTGGCTTATTTTACTTAACATGATGCTCTCTAGTTCAAGTCTTTTTCCTGAAAATAACATAATTTGGTTCTTCTTTATGGTTGAATAATACCCTAACTATAGTTTTATATTCATACCACATTTTGTTTATCCATTCTTCTCTTGATGAGCACCTACCTGATTCTACAGATTAGCTTTTGTGAAAAATGTGGCAATAAACATGGGTATACACGTATATAGATAGGTATCTCTATTCTATACTGACTTTGATTTCTTGGGTATATAGCCATAGTGGTATAGTAGTAATATATGGTTTTTTGAGGAACTTCTGTCCTGATTTCCATAGTGGCTGGACAAAACTACATTCCTAGCAATGAAATATATGGACTCACCTTTACCTCCTTCCCAACATTTGTTTTTTCTTTTATTGATGGTGGTCATTGTGACAGGGGTGAAATGGAACCAGTATGTACTTTGATCAGCAATTTCCTCATGGCTAAAGATGTTGAACATGTTTTCATGTACTTCTTTCCTTACTGTCTGTTCAGTATGTTTGCCTACTTATTGATTGTATTAGCTCTTCTTTTGGTATTCAATATTGAGTTTTTCATATATTCTGGATATTAATTTTGCCAAATTAATAAACAGCAAAGGATTTTTCTATTATATTGACTGCCTCTTCATTTTGTCAATTATTTCCTTTACTCTGCAGAAGATTTTTAATTTGATGCAATCTCATTTGTCAGTTCTAACACAAGAATTTATAAAAGGGTTCACAATTAGGAGTGGCAGACCTAGGATGAAGAGAGCAGTTCCAAAAATTGATGAGAGAATTATAAATAAATGCAAATTAAAGAGGAGCAGAGTAGTAAAACAAAAAATTTTAAAGACATTTGAGGAGTTCCACTTCTTGGCTGAAATTACTACTATCAACACAATATGGTACTGGTGTAAGAACAGAAATAAGAGTTCAGGTGCAATGGCTAACATCTATAATCTCAGCAGCTACTCAGAAGGCAGAGATCAGAGGATCACGATTCAAGATCAGCCTGGGAAAAAAATTATCAAGACCCTGTTTCATAAAACAAGCCAGGCATAGTGGTACAAATCTGTAATCCCAGATACATGGGCAGCAGAAGTAGAAGGATCACAGTCTGAGACTGTCCCCAAGCAAAACAGCAAGACTCTGTCTGACAAATAACTAAAGCTACAATGAGTAGAAGTATGACTCAAGTGGTAGAGCACATGCATGAGGCCCTAACTTCAAACCCTAGTAACACCAAAGCAAAACAAAAAAAGAACCGAGGAAACAAAACAGACACAGAAAACAATAAAATACAAGTGAAAGTCTCAACATAAAC